ATGATTTAGGATCGAATGAATCAGGTGCGTATGATTCAGGATTAAATGGATCCGATGAGTCTGAGTCAGGATTAAATGGTATTTTTTTTACAATTCTCATATCGGAAAGGTTGTAGGGATTCATTACAAGCAACCAGTATTTACAATTAACGATTAAATTTTCTCCTTCTTCATATTTATCGAAATTAACCCTTTCGATGTCATAAAAATTTTTAAATAATTCTATTAAATAAAATCGTGTTAAAAATATTAAAATTGTGGTAATTTGTGGTCACTTGATATTTGCCTAATCAGTAAGAACTTACTTTTCGTCATCGGTGTACTAGATTTTGTTGAATAAACATAGACGGCCAAATCCGCATTTTGTTTATTTAGGTTTCTTCTTCCAGCTACTGCCAGAAGTGTGTTGTCATCGTTCAGCTCCATATATATGGGATTCTCATCATACGTGTTAAAAGCTAAATCCAATACATATTGTGCCTCAAACATTAGGGTTTCCAGATCCCATTGCATAATTACAAAAGGTATATCTAAGAGAATCAACAATTTTCCTTTTCTAGAAATAGCACATTTGTTATATTTCGTAAGTTCAATGCTACTCTTGTATTTATACTGGCGTCCATTGTTGGGATTTGGTTTCGAAAATATAGAAGCCCGATAAACAGGTTTTCCCTCAACCATTACTACATCTCCATTTTCAAGAAAGGAGGCTCCATCAACCGCTCCTGTTAATAATTTCTGTTCCGATCCGGTTTCAAGATCAATGAGTTCTATTGCAGTAATAAAATACAGTATATAGATGTTAAAAAGATTAATAATTCCAAAGTAATATAATTTATTCAATTATCTTACCAATGTCGTAATCTTTCTGCAATAAGATATACTTATTATTCGAGACCCCTAACAGAGTCCATGTATTAGATGTATACTTTTCGAAATTAATTGAATAGTCAGGTTCGAGTTCGGACTGTCCTTCCTTGATTTCCCACCCGAAAATTGAATGATCTTCATCACTGATGGTTGCAAAATATTTCATATTTGGTGAACAAACGAGTTCCGAAATACTTTCTCCATTATGTGGATTAATTTTTGTGTCTGTATACGGGGACTTTTTCTTGGAATCATCTACAAGAACCTCAATTTCGTTGTCTTTTTCTTCATAATCGACGGAGTCAGGATTACTCATTTTCTCTTGAGAAACTAAATTAATCGTACTCACAGTACACTATACCCGAAAGACTAATACGAGAAGCAATTTTATAACCGTAATTTTAGTACCGTATGCAAAACCTGAGTAACTGTGAGAATTCTTATCACAACATACTTATCATATCAAATTAGGAAATACATTGATAAAGAGATATTTCTTCTTTGGACACACGACGAATCCAGAATGGCAATCAACAATAAAATTGGTATTATTACATCAACGTTTCATGCACGCTGCTGTTGTGGACATTAGCTACTCGCTGCCTTAATTTGCTTTTGTTCATAACAATGCAGTAGTAACTTTAGAGTTGCACGGTTCGCATAACACCACCCAATCGTACATAGCACTTTTGAGAAAGTATCTGTTCATAAACGGGGCTTGTGGAAAATTTAGACGAGGTCGTTGCATCTAACCT